GTGATTTACCAAAATTTAATAAATGTCCTTGTGAATTATGTGATGATGGTTGTTTTGATAGAGCTGGTAATAAACATTATCCTGAATGTCAACGACAAGTACCACAACAATCTAAATTATCTCTTGCAGCTCGTTGTCCACTTTCACATTATAAAGGTTCATTTTTAGCTGCTACATTACCATCTGGTGGTACAACTCAACATCGTCGTCATCCATGTCCTCCTCCACGTGATAATGAAATACCAATATCATTTAAAAATGTACCTATGTCTGGTCTTAGTTCACAAAGAGATGATTATCAACCACCACCAGCAAATATTACAAAAGAAAAAATGGTTGTGCCTGTTAAACAAGTATTATTTTTCAAAAAAGAAAATTTAATAGAATATCATTGTTTTATTTCTGCTTTTTTTGTTTGTCCTAGCCGGATCATATATTAATATCACGTACAGTTCCAATGGAAACTAAAACTCAATATCAAGTTGAATATATTGAAAAACCTGTTATACCAGTAACACGTCGTCCATTACATGATCCAATTAAAGATTCTCAGTAAAAATTCTTTTTCTTATTTCAATAAATTCATTATTATTTGTTCTAGATTATATATCACTGAACCAACTGCATCAATTGCATCTCAAACAACAACTCGTGCTCATTTTAAATCATGGCATTCAGCACCATCACAACCATATACTGAAATACCATCTGTAGCTGGTAAGAATATAATAAAAAATATCTTTATTGTAAATAAATTTGTTTTTTTTTTCTCTTCAGGTCATGTTCTTTTTCCTAGTACAAATCGTAATTTTAATACAACAACTGGAAGTAGTTTTTTATCATATCCAAATGTATCACAAACAAAACCAATTGTTCGACTTGACCATAGTGGAAATCTGAAATCATCTGGTAAATGAATTTCGTTTCGTTTCTTTTTATTCTTATCAAAAATAAAAAATAGGTTCAATGGATTTACTTACAAATTATCGACGTGATTATATTACTCCTGAAATATCATTAATAAAAAATAATCAAAATGAAACAAAAAATTTAGTACATGAAGAAAAAGTTTATACACGTCGTCCAATGAATGGAATTTCACAAACAAGTTTTGATTTTCGTCCTTATTCAAAACATCGACCACCACCATTAGCTGAAACAGAACCATTTCTATCTCAAATTACTATAGGAAATTCATTTACACCTATAGAAAAGTTAATTTTTATTTAATTCAAAAAGAAATAAAAATAAAAAAACAAAACTACTTTCTTTGTTCTAGAGCAAGTCAATATCGAACGGATTATCCAGGTCATAATACAAGTGAACATCCTCGACAACCACTTGCAGCACCTAAAGATTATCAACAACCTTATGTAACTCCAATGCAAAAAATGGATACTTTAACAGTGACACAAGTAATTTTTATTTAAATAAATTCCAAAAAAAAAAAGAATAACTATCTATTTTATTTTATTAGAGAGATTTTCAACCTATTGATATAAATGCTTTACCACGTATTCGACTTGTACCATTAAAATCATCATTATCTGTAAAAGATCAAGCAGGTCCAATGGAAAATATGACTATGACTCGATATCATTATCAACCTTATGAACCTATAATATCTACACAACGATATGGTGAATTAATGCCTAATGTTTATATTCGACCAATCGATAAATTTCAAGGAATAACAACAACTAATGAAACATATCAAGGAAGATCAGGTATGATATAATATAATTGATAAAATGAATTATATAAAATTATTTAATATAGGTCCACCAGCACGTCCTTGTATTCCTGAAGGAGAAAAAATTAAACAAGGTGGTACACATGATCATAATACAAATTATCGACTTGATTATCATCCACATGGTGTTAGTTTATGTGCTGCTAAAGCTTATACAATTGCTCAAAATAAGGAAGCAACTCAAAGGCCTATATCTACTAAATGAAAAACAAAAAAAAGAATTATTTAAATCTTAACAATAAAAATTATATTATAACTTTTCAGAGTGTTTTATAAATAGAAGAAAAAAAAAAGAAATACAAATGAAAGAATTGTTATTTATTTTGACTGAGAAATCTTCAACTTATTTTTTTCAAGTCTTAATTATTAAATAATTTTCTTGTTCGAAGTCCAATAACTTCAATTTGTTTTCATCAGAAACAAAAGCAAAAATATTTCTTAATGTTATCAGATATTTGTCAATTCCATTTTATTATAAATAATGAATTAAAGTTTTTGCATTAATTTAAAACTTCAATTGCCGAGCAGTTCTTAGCTTTTTTCAGGACTGAGGAAGATATATTGTTTGTCGTAAAGCGACTAAGGTTTGATAGATATTTTAATTTATTCTATTCGATATTACAATGCATGAAATTCAAAAAACAAAGGGTTAACAATACTTTTAACTCAGTAGTAGATCTAGCATTTTAGAAGGTAAGGGAACGATTTTAGGCCGAGCTTATCCAAGGTAATGTAAATTCGTTGTTATTTGAAAAAATTTCTTGAAATTGACTTTGCTTCTCACTCCTATGGTTCTGCAATGAATTGTCTGGTCGTCACCCGCGTAATTATCATATTATTTTTCAAATCTTACAATGAAATCTATGATTATATTCCGACAATATTCTTGATCTTCTTTTATTAAAAATTATGATGAAAACAGACATATTCTCAACATCCGAACAACACATAGATACATTCTATTAATCCTAGACACTTATATGTTTTGTTCTATTTGTGACTATAAGATATGATATCGATCTTAATTATTGTTTGGTAATGATAAATAAAGTTGAAGAGTTGGTAAACCAATGGATGCTGTAAATAAAAATCTTGATAATAAATGTATCCATGTTCCAAGACCAAATGCATGTACCAAAACTCTATTTAATAATAACAAAAAAAAAAAGACATTCAAGTTTTATTTATAGAATAATTAAAATTTTTATACTCTAAAATTAATGGTCGATAACAACATAGAAGAAGTAAAATATTGATTACTGGAATATAAGATTTATTTAAATCATTACGAGTACGAAGCCAAATAAGCATAGCAACTGATAAATGATGAATCTAGAATAATGAAATGATTATTTTATTTTATTTTTTTTCTTTTCTATTTATCTTACTAAAGCAATATTTGAATCAAAACTCATTTGAATATATTTCCAATCAAATTCAATACCACGAGCTCCTACCCATAATGGTAAAAATCTATGAAATAAAAATATTATTTGAATTGTTAGAAAAAAAACAACAAATAGAACAAACTTTGTTACAACAAGTTCAGCTGATGCCCAACCAATAGCAGCAACTAAATATTTTAAATCAGTTTTACCACAAATACGTGTTATGACAAAATGTAAACCAACTAAATCTAATATATCAACTGTATTTTTTAAAAACTCCTATAAATGAATTTATTAAATGCATTCAAAACAAAAAAAAATCCCTAAATCAATCTTACAGTTTTCACAACAAATGATGATGATTCATCAACCGGTGGAAAACATGTAGCTATAGTAAGCATTTTAATAAATTGAACAAATAAATAAAAAGCGGCCGATTGAACACATTTCCAAAATGCATTGTATTCAGCCCTGAAAAAAAACAAAAATAATCATTTTCTCTTTTCATCCATGTAATCAATTTTGAGACATTCAGTGTTTTTGTCTATATTGAATGAAATATCGATTAGGAAAATTTTCTATGCTTTGATTTAGTTTTCCTGTCTTCGCTTGTTGCATCATGGGTGTTTTACTCGAGGTTCGTCCTTGTTGAATTCGAATTTTCAACAGAAATGTTGTTCGTAGATAGATGTTATAGTCACTAGAAATGTATCAAACTATTCTGAAGTCTTCATTTTTGATTCTTTCACATAGATGTCCATATAGTGTCTTATCAGTTTCCTAGCTCACAGAGAAACACCTCGTCAGTTGTCCCCTATCAATTTCAATGATTTTTTTTTGCCTATAAATACTGCATAGTGTTCTGATAAAATTCAACTAGACTAACTTCCATAAAAAAAATCAGACATTTTCAAAAATGCATGTTGTATACACTACCCATGGAAAAGGGTTCATATCTTGAAAGTCTCATATCTCAAAGAGGCGTTGTTCAAAACTTGTAAGTCTTTTTTTTATGGAAGTTAGTCTAATTGAATCTTCTATATGTACAGAGTGTCAGATCAAATTACAATGGGAACTCACATCCTTTTTGGATTTTTATCAAAACAATATGTAGTTTCTATAGGTAAGATTAGGGATGTCGTATTAGTATTAAATTAATGCTAACACCAATATTCTTGTTTTTCGTTCCTAAGAAAAATTATTTGAATCTGTATTGATTAATATAAGGTCAGACGCAGTCAGCAGCTCTGATTAATTCCAATACTTTTGTATTACAATTTTAATATAAATTAATGCTATATAAGCATTAACTTATTATTAGCTACAATTTTTTATATTAAAATTCTAACACAAAAGTAATGGAATTAATCAGGGCTGTTGGCTGCGTTTAACCTTATATTAATCGATATAAATTCAAATACTTTTCCTTAAGAACGAAAAACAAGAATATTGGTGTTAGCATTAAATTAATGCTAATACGACATCCCTAAGCAAAATATCATTGGAATCGAAAATGTTCTCTCGTCAGCATGATTTTCAAATATCTCTTTTAAAAATCCAACGAATCTTAGAAAGGGGTATTAGCACCTCAACATCCAATTTTTGAGATAAATAATTTATACTTACAATCCAGAATATTTATATGTTAATAAAACAGGACCACAGGCTAAAGCCAAACAATTTCCAAAATGAAATAAAGGCATCTAAAATATATCCTATAAGCGCGTTAATTCAAAACTAATAATTGTTTCGTTCGAGTAAAATTTTGTTCACTGTTTCTTTTTTACTTATTTTTCAATTCATAGTGTTCAATCAAAAAAAAAAATTAAATTAAAGAAACGAAATTTAATTTTTCTCTTATGATCGATCTTATTGCTGCTTATCTTGTTCTTATTGTTATTATATTATTATTCATTATTATTTTTTTAACTTTTTATATTATTTATGAACATCGAAAGAAAATTATTATTCCATTAAATAAAGATAATATAGTTTTACCATTACTGACTTTAAAAACTAATAAACAATCTAATAGTAATCATTCAAATTCAGCAATATTCTCATCTATACCTAATAAACGAACAATGAAACGAATTCGACATCGAGTAAAATAAAATTTCTTTTTTTCTAAAGTTTATTTTTTTGTTTCTAGCCACCAACATTATTTATTCGTACACAAAATTCACAAGGTTTTCTTCTATCAAATGGTGATCTATCATCATCTCTGTCTATTCATAATAAGAAATTAACTCAACAGAATATAAATTCTACAATCGATCAGACAACTATTCATTTTGATAGTTAGAATAAAAAAAAAAAGAAAACAAAAGATATGATTGTTTTATTTTTATTCTACAAAAATCTGTAGGGATGATATTCTATTTTTTTTTTAAAAAATGGGGACGCAATAAAAAAACAACGAAAGGAAAAAAGAAAATGTTTTTTTTTTTTTTCTTTTGATTTTTTTTTTATTAACGTAATGGTCTCCATGATTGAAAAATTTCTTGATATTTTCGACGTTTTTCAAATACTTCAGGAAAATCTTCTGGATGTCGTCGAACATAATCCCAAATACTCAATTCTTTTTCTAACATACGTTGTTCACGAAATTTTCTCCACCATGAACCAAATAAATAACCACCAACAATAGCTGCAGCATAAACAGGTCTTGCTGAAAAAAATGGTCGACGTAAATACATATTACGCATTAATACAACTGTTGAAAAACCAATAGGAATAAGAACACGTGCATCATATGGAGCCATAAAATAGGGTAAACCCCAAACACGATAACGTGTATCATTATTATAATCACGATCAAGATCACCTTTGCTTGGTTGTATACCCATATCGAAAAGAATAACCTAAAATCATTACACAGTTTTTCAGCTAATTCTCAGAAAAAGAAATATTTACATATCAAAGCGAATATTATTATTATATCGAGCTTTTAGTGAACTTCTTCTGTAGGGTATTCGTTTTCCATGAGAAACCATACTTTTGAATTTCATTCTGAAACTTTGCATACATAAAGGCAATGATTAGATTAGTCGGTAGAAAAAATTTGAAAACTTTTTTTGATCAAACCTCTCCGAGAAATATCTATGTTTTTTACAACAATTTGGGCAAAGCACCTGAATGTTAAAAAATTCATATTTGAGAGAGATCTAGTGGAAAAATTCGATATGTCAGCTGCTCGAATCACTTTAGGGTATTCACTTACTTATTAGATCCTATCGATTGAATATAGTTTCAGCTTAAAAACGATTTATCATTTGGAAACCTTTCCTTGTCCCTGTGCTTTCATGTTAAAGACCATATTTTTATATGCAAATGATATGCGACAGTTATACTAATATCTGTTTAAAAAAAAAGGGCGAATAGAAATTTTTTGTTAGGAACAAGATAGAAAGCTGCGGTATTCATTGTTTAAACAAGGGAATGAAGATACATCGAATTGTATATTATAAGTTTTTTCCTAGTATGTTGTCTAAAATTTGTTTAATCAATTTTCTAAATAAACTCCTGAATGATTAATTCTAAACATATGAACATTGTGCAGCTCTCTATTTTGTTCCTATCAAAAAATATCCACTCATCTTTTCTTTTGAATAAGCATTAGTATAATCGCAAAAATAAAGTATTGTTTGTACTATCCCTGCATATAAAAAGAAAGCTTTCTATTAGGAAGTTGCGGATCGGTCGGGTCTAAACCCGAGGTTTTTTCCATCAATATCTGGCACCCTTCTTATACATGCACAAGTGAACGATCATGGTTTCAGCTATTTATTTGCTACTCTCAGAAAAAAACTCAACGTACAGTTATATCTTATTATTGGATTTCTCATCTGAGGAGCAGCGAGTCTCCAAAAATGTGTGATCGGACCCAACAAAAAAAAAAATAAAACTCCGGATCCGGGTCCGGTCGATCTGGAAGGACCAGCAGCTCCCAACTTCCTATACAGTATTAAAGTGTCACTGTCACTACTGTTGGAAATATGAGTAAAACTTCTAATTTATATTATACCTTTCTTGCTTTTGGTGAAAAAAGTGCTAAATGATCTTCTCGCACTTGTAATTGTCCATCTTCTGTTTGTTTTTTTTCATCAAAATATCGATTATATTCAGGATTTAATGATTTATTTGGTAATAATTTATCTCGTTGTTCTTTTGGTAATGGATGTGTATCTAATTCATCACCTGTTTCACCACCTAAAACAGGATATGTACGCCATGGTTGTGGTCGAGCAAATGAACGATTTGTAAATTCAAATGCTGATGATTTATCATATTCTTGATCAAATGAATGACGAGCAAGTCCAACATGATGTTCATCATGTTTATCACCCCATTTACCAATTCCAGTTGACATATTTATTTAGTTTTTTTGTTTTTAATATTCTATCTAGAATAATAAACAAAAATACAAAGAGAATGTATCACATATAATCATCTAATATAATTGAAGATGATGATGATGATGGTTCATCTTCTTTTAATGATAAATCATTAACAATATTCATTTTATATTGATTAAGACGAGACTCAAATGATGGATACAATCTTTGACATTCATATATTAATTCATTTATTAAAGTTAATTTATATTCATTTGATGATGTAAATGTATCTAATAGTGTTAAAATTTCTAGAAAGAATAAAATATTAAGTTATTTTAATGAATTCAACAAAAAAAAAAAAAAGAAAATTTTACCTTGATCAGCTTGACGACGAAATAATAATTTAACTTTTTTTTTAATTTCACGATATTTTTTTAATAAACGACGACGATCATCATCTAATACACAACAAATATCAAATGAAAAACGATTCATTGAATTATTCATTAGTATTGATTCAGTATCTGATTCTAATTAAAAAAAAAATTTAAAGTAAACAAAAACAAAAAACTAATTTTTAATCAAACCATCATCGGTACTTGTTGTTGATGTTGCAGGACTAGGAGGACCACTACCACCACCAATGGATAAATGTCGACGATAAACATAATTTTTCAGAACTAAAGCTATAAAGAAACAAAAAAAAAAAAGACCAGAATTGAAATTAGAAAAAAAAAAACAACAAAAATTAATCATTAATACAAACGTGTGCGTTTTTTTTTCATTACACTTAAACCAGGTGCTAACGTTTGTTCTAATTGTGATCGTTTTCTTGATATTGGTTGTTGTTGTTGTTGAGGAACAGCAGTTGAGCCAACTAATTCATCGATTTCATCGATTGGCTTTAAGAAAAAAAAAATATACAGATATTTCATAATAAAATAATCCGAAGTTCTTTTTCATTATAAATCTCCGATAACACCTCTTATAATCAAACGTTCATGATAATGAGTTAAAGTCACACTAATGGTAATCATATCATATTTCTGTTCTATTTTTATAGAAATGCGAAAAGAACAAAATCAACGGCTTTCGATTCCAACTATAAACGATTACAGAGAATGTTTTCTACTCAAATTCGAATTATTTATTATAAAGAATTTAAACAAACGAAGAAGAAAACAGTTTAAAAATTTTTTTTACTAATAAAAATTTATCTCATCACTGAGACCAATTTGAGTTCTATATGACATATCAACATTATCAGTGTGCATCAAAAAACGACTCAATACTGTCAGTTTTAACAGATATCAAAAATATTCGTCCGTTTTAATACAACATTTTCAAAAGACGGTAGTGATCACATAAGTGTTTCATTTTTGAACAGTCGCATAAGAATGACAATAGAAATTTGAAAATGTATATTAACCCTTCACTCCCCATTGGCAACTAGAATTGCCATTTTGAGAAACATTGCAGAAAATAAAGGAACTGTTGGATTCAAAAACGATAAGAACCTTTTTTGCAGTAAACATCATGGACTATCAATTGGTAAAAAGAGTATTTTTTTTCATTGCTTCGTCTTTTAAATATCGGACCTTCAAAATCAATACTTTTGAAAAAAATTGAAATTTTTCAAATGAAATATTCTATACTCATAAGCAATAGAGATCTTTTGAAATTTCTGTGCGATATTCATTGATGAAGAAGTCCACTGATGTTTCAAACGAATTACACATGCTCAGACATACTATTGGGTAGATGGAAAGCAATCAAGAACACAGTTAATATATGTATTATAAACTTCAACTTATAACAAGTTGAAATAACATTTATTATGAATTAAATTTCTTCTAAGATCATAAAATGGCTCAAAGCAAAAAAGACTCTCATTTGACAACACGTATAAAAAAACGTATGCATTCTTTGGTATTACTTTTTATCAGTTCACAACTGTTTCTTTTCTCATTATTTCTAAAACACAGGATATATGTTGCTTCTGCCCACTCAATAGTGTGATCAAAGAAAAAAACTCAAGTCTCATGATGTTGTTCAATCCCCTTTTTACGCCGCATGATCGCTGAATCTATCAAGCCGTCCTACTCTAGAAGCAGGACATTCGGTGGATTAGACCACATCATTGGTATATTAGAAAGGCTAATACCTTATTTTATCAGTAGCTCTTATGAAACCGCTATGGGGGGTAAAGGGCTAAACTCGTCATAGTGAAATTCACAAACGATAGAATGTTTTCAATTGCTTTTGAGTTTGGACTTAATTAATGCAGTTTCCTAGAATTTTCTCTCACGACTAACTTCAACTAAAAAAGATATTCTTTGATTTTTAGCTTATTCATACTTTGTTAACTTTAAATGGATTTCCAAAAACATGTTGTCTAACTGGTTGAGCATCAATTTCTCTTAATGGAGCAATTTGTGCATTAGCACGTGGATATTCATCATAATTCGACATTTCTTTAATAGGTACAGAATGTAAAGCATCTTCATCTTGTATTTCATAATTAGTTGTATTTTGTACTAAATGTCGACGTAATTTTGTAACAACATCAAGTAATTGTGATCGTGGAATATCAAATACATTTCTTAATACATGAAAAAAAAAAAAAAATTTTTTTTTTTTTGAAGATTTTTGCTTTTTACTTACAAATATAATTGTAATGGTTGTTGTTGTTTAGAATTTAATTTTGATTGTAAAAGAAAATTATTATGTATTGAATCATCACCTGGTTCATGTAAATCTGCACTTGATGATGATGTTTTATCAAATAAAAGATCAGGACGTCTTTAATAGAATTAAATAGAAATTTTAATTAAGAAGAAGAAAAAAAAACTACAAACAATGGAAGAAGATGTATAAGTGGTGGTGGTTTTTCTTGCATTGGTGGCCATCGATCAAGTTCAGCTTTTGCTTGTGAACGAATTTTTTTTAAATATCCAAGCATTTGTGGTGAAAGAAGAATTGTTGGTTGTGTTGGATTTTGTTTATCAAATGATTCAAATACAAATTGAAGTTGTTTACGTGAAAGAACACGTCGTAATGGCTAAAAAAAATTATTTATTACTTTATTATTTATTAAAAATAAATAAATTTACAGTAAGATAATAAGGTGGAATCGATCGAAGATAAGTATCAAAACGATTTTGCCAAGTTCTTGATACATTTGAACCATGAGATTTATTTAATTCATCTTTAAATAAAAATTAATAATAATACATAGAGCATTACAAAAAAATTTTTTTTTTCATCCAGTTCTTATAATTTGACTCGTTTAGTGTAAACATTAAAGGACTAAGTACCTCCTCAATTGGTTTCATGAATTGATTTTAATGTTGAAGATGCTGCTCGTCCTCGAACAAATAGAAGAAATCTTGAATATTAGTTCAATTATTCATGCCGATTTCAAGTTTACACAAAATTTGTGCTCGGTAGATACAAAACTAATGACTAAAAGCAGTGGCAAGTTTATTTCTTCCGAAGAGAATTAGTTCTATCATATATATTTAATTAATTCTATACTATTAGAAACTGATATAACGCTAAATGAAAGCTCGTATATCAACAAGTCCTCAAAACTGTATCAGAACGAAGATAAAATTAGTGATCTTCGAAGTCTCATTTTTCACGATGATAACGCAAGACTACATCGAGTTTGAATTGCCAATTTAGTCGGAACTATGTAAATCATGTAGACTCTAATGGGTTATGAATATCACGAAATAAATTTCGGTCTATAGCTTATTGCTGTCAATATATTGCATTTTTACGGTATTTTTCATTGTTTCTATTTCATAGTAATAACATATTTTATGTCGCTCATATATACAGGTAAAATAGGACATTTGTACCTTTCATTTGAGATTGATTCTCTATAAGAGTGAATTCTTTTGGGATAGGCTTATGTGAGAATATTTCGCTAATCATATGAGAAAAAAAAATCTGAAAACTTTAGGATAGGATCTAGGGCACAAGTTGCATCTATGGTGAAATTTTCAGTAAGATTGGACTTCAAAAATTTCTTCCGAAAAACTGGTTTTCTAGAGATCCTAAAAAGTGAAAACATTTCTCTTATCATCATCTAGGCATTCTGAGTAATAATTTGTAACGTTTGAAGTCGATTTTGAACTTTTCAGTTGATTACAAGAGCACCATCTCGATTATATAGTCGCACTGTGTCACGTCGCTAATGGTAGTTTTTTATCAGTAACTTCTCTGAACAAAGATTCAAAGCGCTGACTTTTTTAGGGTAACTTAATATTCATGCAAAATATAAAAATCAGATCTAAGAGAGACCTCATTATTTCGAGATACACATATTTTAATTTTCCGAAGTCACATCGTTAACAAATGATTTTGCTCATATATCCATAGCTTCGATATTCTTATTTCAATGCAAAGTTTCATATCGAAATTTGAAAATTAGTTTTTTTGAACCATGACATTTATTTAAAAAATACCGTATTCTTTTCGAAGTATTCCTAATTCGCTATGGTCTAGATGATGGAGCTTCATCTTATTTCAAAAACTCAAAAATCAACTTTTTTCTAAGAACTGACGACAAAAAAAAAAACTTTTGTAGTATTCGATAAAATAATTTTCATACTGAGTAATGTTGATAATTCTGGATAATTATATGGCATAACATATAGATTAACAGATGTTAAATTTGTACTTGCTTTAAGATAACCAAATGGTGAACCAAGGTCAGTTGGACCAAGACGAGATGAACCTTGAACAAAAACCTTAAATTAAAAAAAAAAAAACAAAATAATAATAATTTAATTTTTCATATTATAAAATTATTTAATATACAGGCCAAGCCGTTGTTGGTTGTCGACGTTCAAGTATATATTGTGTTAATGGTGATGGTTCTAATTCATATTTATCAAATGGAAATTTATCTGTTACTGTTGCACATGAACTTATTTGAAATTTAATTAAAGCATGTGCTGATCGTGATGGAAGTGAAAGCATTGCTGCTGTTGGCCAATAATCTTCAGGTATTGGCCAATTATATTCTGTTTTTTCTGTTTTAGGTAATGAACGTGGAATCATTATCATTTTTCGACATGAATGCCATGCACATCGTTCACTATCTCCTATTTTAAAATTAAACAAAAAAAAAGAAAGAAAGAAATTTTTTTTTTTTTTTTGTAAATTCAATTATTCTTATACCTTCACTAATAACTTTTTCTAAATTAACAACAACACCAATTTGAATTTTTTGTACAAGAGATTCTAAACATTGAAGAAGTGTTCGTTGAGATGTAATTAAATATGAACGACCTACAAATAAACAAAAAATAAATATTTGTATATTCAAAAATAATCCTAGTCGAAACTTCCTGGAGGATTAAGGAACTCCCCAGAGAATTAATGAGTATTATCAGAATCTCTCCAGAAGCCACTATTGGAAATCTCTGAAAATTTTAGAGGGATCCTGAGATATGCAACTTTCTCGGACATTCTCCGATGATTTCATTGAGGAGAATCGACTAGGAAATTCTTTTCTTCATTTACCACCAGTTACATCACACATAGCAGTAATTGGTTGATCAATAGCAGCTGGAATAAATTGATTAGTAGGTATATCACCTATACCAGTACCAGTTGCATTACCAGGTGCTCCTGTTGGAATTATTGATGATGCAGTAGCAGGTAATGCAAGTACAATAGCAAATAAACGTTGATCCCAACGAAATGGTTCTTTAGTTAATTCACTACCTAATGGACCTGTATTCATTGGAATATTAATCTAAACAAAAACAAAAAAAAAGATTTCGAATATATACAAAAAAAAAATAAATTTATGTATTTTTTTTACTTCATTTTGAACACCAGCTAATGTAGTTAGTTTTTGTTTATCTGTAATAACAATAATTAATGATGGTTCAAGTAAATGTGGAAATCGACCACATCCATATGTATCATGATCAGCTGCATGTCGATTAAGATTAAGTAAATCAAAAGCTTGTTTTATTGCTGAACCCATTTGTGTTAATCCAGTTGCTTCAAGACTTTTTAATTGATTAGTAAATACAGTCATTGGTTCTTTCCATCCAACTTTAACATTTATTGGTGGTTCATCAAGTGTTAATAACATATATCGATCTGTTCTAGCTGCACCAGCATCTCGTTGTCGTATCTATATAGATAGAATATATTACGTAAAAAAAAAAAAAAAAGAAAAAAATTATTTCAAACTTTAAGAAATTGTTCGATAGCTCCTTTCCCAATATCAAAAAGACTTGTACCAACATGAGTCATTTGATTCATTGATGCTGAATTATCAAGAAGAAATATAACTACAGGCATTTTTTATTTATTTAATTGATATTAAGAACCAAATGATAAATAAAATGATCTGATAGATGTATTGTTGTTTACTATCTTAGTTCCATTGGTTATAAAGACCATTCACAATAGTCTATATGATAGAGGTCGCTAATTGATGATGAATACTTTATTATTTTCAATAGAAAATGTTTTTCGACATGAATAATGGATAATAAAAAGAAAAAGAAAAAAAAATTCGACTATTTTATTCAAATTTTGCTGTTGAAATTAATTCGACGTACTGCTACTACTAGTCAGAATGCTTTAATGTTGTTGCAACAAAAGTTTGTATTACATTGTAGTAAATGAAAACTTCTATAATAAAATTTCAAAAGTACAATCAACTCCAAAGTTACAATATTGCCATAAGCTTCCACAATAAAACAAATAGCAGCTAATGACAGTAGTCATAATCGAAGTAAAGATACATTTGAAAACAACGCCAACAACAAACGACTATAGTGTGTATTAAATGTCAATAATTATAAAAACCTTAGTTGTCGAAGGGATAAGTGTAACATCTATACACAAGATAGAAATTGTGGTTATAGCTTGAGATGAGAGTCATACTATTCAATAGAATGCTTTCGATCAAGACAAAAGTATTTTTTTATAAAGCTTACTCGAACATTTTCGAGGGTCGAGGAACTCGAATCTACAAGTGATTTCTCAAAATTCTTGAGTTCTATTTTGTTTTGTTTTGTTAGTCAGCATAAGTCTATTCTCGCGATTTAGCCGAGTTTTATTAAATTCATCTATTATTTTTAAATAGGCCTCCACTGACTGAAAAAAACTGAACTCAAGACTTTCGATAGATCATCTGTAGATACGCATTTATCAATCTCAAAATCGTTCGAGCAAGTTTTATAAAAAAAAATTATTATTTTTGAAAAATACTTTGACAAAATAGAATTGAAATAGCATGGCGCTCACGCCTATTTATAACCTTAATTTCTATCGTATTTACCAACACTGTGAACACGACTATTAAGTTTTCAGTACTAAAACGTGCTGAGTTAGGATTCTAAACCTGAATTTTTTCTCTTGCAAGTTGTTTATACAAATAAATTCAAGAATTTTTGTAAACGTTTTTCTTATGTTTCTACTTTATATTGTTTCCATATCGATATTAGTCAACCGTTATTGATAAAACAAACAGAGGCCATCATTTTGTTTGAATTGATTTTTCGAATTGAACTTTGTTGAATCTCTTTTTGCAGTAATTGAAATACATACTTATTGTCAATTTGACAATTTCGAGTGTGACTTGTTTATGGTTTTAGAGGCATTGTAATGTTTGGCAAGCCTTTTAAAAAACTTTTCACTGGAAAAAATTATCCTATATTTTTCTTTATATTCAAGACGAATCACTATGAATGATAGTTAAAAATTAAAATAATGTGCAGTGTAATCGAAAATATCATCTAAGAAGAACCTAAAGCAAGATTGAATAGCGTCATAGTAGCTTGAAAAAAAAGATACTTCAGATTCTAAAGTGATGGGGAAAAGTTTAGAAACAATGATTTTTTTGATTTTTTTTGCATAATGTTAAGCATGTAGCTTCAATCCAAATAGTGATTTTAATAGCCAATGGAGTTTTCTATCCAATACACTTTATAGCAAGATTTCACAGACGAACAATGATGACAAGGCTCCTAAAAAACCGAACACGGTATTTTTCAGGTTCTAGAAGACTTTGTCAGAGCTATTTTTGAACAGTGTCATCTGAAAGAGTATAAAATTCTGAGCAAAATGAGGGATCACCAAGTTTGCTACGACCTTCTCATAAAAAGTTACAAGCATCACAAAAATCATGAAAAAACGAAATTTTTTTAAAAATCGACTAAAAAGGCCTTTTCATGATTTTTGTGATGCTTGTAACTTTTTATGAGAAGGTCGTAGCAAACTCGGTGACCTCTCATGTTGCTCAGAACTTTATACTCTTTAGGATGACACTGTTCAAAAATAGCTCTGGACAAAGTCTTCTAGGACCTGAAAAATACCGTGTTCGATTCTTTAGGAACCTTGTCATCATTGTTCATCTGTGGAATCTTGTTATAAAGTGTATTGGATAGAAAACTCCATTGGCTATTAAAATCACTATTTGTATTGAAACTACGTGCTTAACATTATGAAAAATACCAAAAAATTGTTGTTTTTCTAAACTTTTTTCTACCACTTTATATGTGTACTTACTAACCTTCCTATCGTCCTTAAGATTAGAACAACCTCACTTACATATTAATGATTGTTGATTCTATGTATACAGATTTTCTCACAAAAGAATTGTGACCAAAAAAATGATCTCATTTTAAGAAGGAAACAGTGGATGCAAGGAGTCTGTGTTTAATTTTCTTCCTTGTCTTATTGATGTGGACTCTCTTTTTCTCGTGCAGATAAAAGTAAATATCACTTTACATTGGTATTAGAAATGATATGTTAGAAAGAGTCAATGAAATATTTCTAGTAAAGAAACACAAATATCGCATGAAAATTGTAAAAAAGTCAATTTATTGGACTTATGTTTGACTCATCTAAGGCAACGTCAATTAGTTCTTTTAATCTGGTCATGTTGATTATGATCGATGCGTCGTGCCGAGTATTCGATGCTCCAGGAAAGTCGAAAACATAATCTTTTGCACTTCGTACTTGATAGTAAAGTTTACGAATATGCGGAAAATAATTTAAAAAAGCTCCATCCATCGAACCTGATTCTCCTATTTGATATCTCTCTCCCTTCAAATATGCTTCCTTATTGACATAGAAATCCATTACGATTGTGTGTGTGCCTTTAGGTAAAAATGGTATTATTGTTGAGATACCACCGCATGGCGTAATTAATATAGTTGTTTTGTATAATTCATGCATTTGTTGAGTAAATGTATATTTAGTCCAATCAATAACATCGAGCTGTATCTGTGGATATGTTAATTTTATAAAATTTTTAACTTCAACAAGATTTGAAATTGCACGTAAACTACGACGTTTTGCTTCAGTTTTGTTAACAAGTACAATACGATGACGTGATGGTAAATCGGATATATTGACACCATGATATTGTAGGATAGCAGTACGATAGTCATAGAGAAGTCTTTCTTTTCCATGTGTATATCGTTCATTACCAATAGAAAACATCGATTTAGCACCACCAGCTACAAGAGTTTGAAAACATACAAGTGGCGAAGAAAAACTATTCGTATAATGAAAGAGACTATCAACTTTTGCAGCAAAAGCAGGAACGATATTTTGATACATTTGATAAAATTGATCTCCTATTTTAGGGAAATTTCGGTATTCAAGAAGAACAGCATTTCTATCATATTCATTTAATCTAATCATAGCAAAGTAAGTAGATGCTATGTCTTCCCAAATGATATGACCAGGATTATAGGAAACATGCCAATGCATAAAAAGAACATGAACATGTTCTAAATAATGTGCTTCATTAGCAGATGGTAACCATTCTTCAATAATTGTTGGTCCCCATGCTTGATGCATAGATCCTCGTGCTACAAGATTAACAAAGCCATGATTGTTTATATTAAAATCATATATATGACCTAGTTTAGGTTCAAATAAAATTGGCGTTTTAATACTGCCTGGTCTACGATAAAATTGAAATACTTTTCTTGTTTTATTATAACAGATATTTTTGAATGTACAAGTTCTTTGATGCCATTCAGATTCGTAATTCATATTACCCGTACAAGTCCAAGCTGATTGATCATCTGAAGGTCCCAATAAATCTGCTTCATTTATTTTTTCTTGAATTTGATGTAGTGATATATCATTTGAGAATGCTGTATCTTGAGATTCATAAAGACGTTTAATTTCCAATAAAAAATGTAAATAATAAATCATAAGTATCATAATAGAACTACATAGAAAGCAAAGCAATGTTTTTCTTGGTCGAAAATGCATTTTTTCCATTTGGTATAAGATCTATAATTTTTTCACATTTAACTAAACATAGATGATTGAAAAATAACTTATTATAGTATTTTTCATCGATCTTCTATCTTGCAAAAAAATAATTGATAATTAGACCAATTATGTGAAAGAAAGAATGAATAAAAAGGTACTTTCTGTTGAGATATTTAATATATCTGAAAAATAAAATGCTCACATGGTTATTCAGTTTTTAGGAGACGAGAGTACAACTATAACTTCTTCAGGTTAATCCTTATGTGTTTTTGTTACTGTTTCAGATTAATTATTTTTCATTCCCGATTTAATCTAAAGTTCGACTTAGTGTAATGAATTTTGAGTTATAGAAGTGTACAAGAGACATTGCAAAATCAACAATGAGAAACCATCTGAATATATTTTAGCTCTAATCTTATCGAAAATCTTTGATGTTTTTGTACCAGATCTTTGGCAGATCTAATAGAGGTATAGATTTAAAACTAGGAATAGGTTCAGGAAGCCATATATTCTGCAAGAAACGTGTAGTCACGAAATTCCAAAGATTTTAATTAGATGTGGGACAAGATCTTAGAAAGATCACGAGCAACTATCCATTGTTTTTAGTTCAGGATGCTGCCATGATTTCACTAGATTTTCTCTAGCATGTTATCAGATATTTAAAGGTATGAGTATGACTGCTGCTGTATGATTGCGCTTTCTCTTCAACAACGAACGAACTGACACAGACCTACCACTATTCCTACAACTACATATACCTATGTCGGCACCACCCTTCATACCAAGCGAGAAACAGTGAACTCCGGATTTCAACGAGCTATTTCACTGCACTTGACTTCCAGAGACTTGACAGTACTAAAAGACTTTTGGAGCCACGTTGAGTCTCGAAATCTTACACAATTTTTCTGTCAGTCAAACGTTGATTAGAAAGAAAAATGTATACTTCATTAACTGGCGTATAATATTTACATTAAACTGCAAATATATATACTATAAAAACAATTACAAAGCATGATAGTGAGCAATGAGAATAATATCATTATACTAGATTATGA